TTTTTTTATTTTTATTTTTAACCTTCTAAAGTGAAAAAAAAAAAAAAAAGGTCGATCTTCCTTTGCGCAACCATTACGTTATGGATCAAATTCATACATTAATCATCTTCCTTTTTGGGCTCTTACCTTTACAGATACATAATTATTATTTTAGTGGTATAATTATACAACAATTATTCTCCTAATCAAAGTCATTGGCTACCAATTAGGATATTTAATTATTTTAAACCTGGTTTTATTAAGGCCATATTTGTCTCCTATTATTTCAAAACATTGTTTGCTACAGTAAGATTCTCCACCACAAGTTCACGTAATAAAATATTCTACATACAAACCATAAATTTACTTTAAATTCCTACCACACATTTTTCGAAAAATACTATCCGTTACTCCATTTCTTCTACAATAACGGGAGACAAACACACACTAAGTTAGGTTGATAAAAAGTTTATTTTGGATGAGGATGCTTGCTTTTTCAAAAGGACATATTTTCCAGGTTTAAAAAAAAAAAAAAATCGTCCAAACAATGTAAAGATGAAATAAAATTCATGTTAGGCCTTTAGTACCCTTTATTTGATTCTTCGATGGGAGATAGAAGGTGTTAAATTACCAAACTTTTTCATCACTTGAGGACCCCATACTTTATTTCTCGAAATGAAAAGTTAATTGAACGTTCTTCTGTTTTGAAGAGGTAATTCAAATGTTTTAACTTCTTCAAAAAAAAAGTTCGGAAACCAAAGAGCATACATTGAAGTTCGTGCTCAAAGTAAAGTCGAAACTAGAGCTTCAACGATTCGAATTCAACACTCACTATTCAAGTCTCAACTACTCGATCTCAAAACTTGACTATTCTATCTTCCTTTCCTTTCATTCTCTTCTTCTTCTTCTTCTTCTTCTTCATTTTTATTTTATTTTATTTTATTTTTTTGGGCGGGTTCAAACATTAAGTATAAAACCTCTCTGGATGACTTTCCTTTATCACACCTCGTGAAAATTAAAAGAGAAAGCAAGTTATTTTTACCTTTATTCACTTTTCCTTTTGTTTTTTCTTTTCTTTTTGTTCTTATACTGGTTTTTTTTACAGATGCTCTTGCTTTGAAAAGTACGTATAAAACTGAAAAAAGCCCTCTAGAACTTGCTCATTCTTGAATCAAATTTACTAAATTTCTAACGGTTGAAAACAATGTTTTTTCCTATCTTTTTTAGATCAAATATAGTGAGAAAGAGGGCAGAAAATAAATTATATATTCCTCACAAATAAACTGAACATCACTTTTCACTATACTACACATTAACTTGAATAATATTTGACAAATAACTGGATAAGTTTAAACTTTTTAAATATAGACTAAGCATAGTTGAAGTAAGACTCATCTTATAATAAACCATAGTTGACTTATATTCGGACCATATCTATACACTATCACAATAATAATAACATCACCAATACGAGCATATGGATGTCTTATAATTCGAATTGATATAATAGATTGTTAATTTTCACGAACACTATCATTTGCATAAGGAAGTCCATATGTACAATATTTTTGACAAACTTTTGGTATATTAATATTGTTGTAGTGTGTTATACAGATTAATCTAACATCGTTACTTGTTTTAAAGTTGTTTCTTGGAAGAACACGCTTTTGTCTTTTGAAGATAAAGCATGGTTACGTAGAAGTTTCATTGTTCATTTGTGAATCATGATATCTTTTCTATTTGTAGTATCATTTGAGCAGGATGATTTATGAGAAATATATTTTTAATATTAGTTGCATCATTATACGCGAAGAATGTGAAATTATAACAAATATAGGAGACTCGTTGATTTCAAACGAATACAACTTTGTGAATTTACCGAATGACAGGGATTGATTTGATTAATAAAATGTTATATCAATAGAATTTGAAATTTATCAAAGTTCTTCAATTTTATTCAACAAAAAATAAAAACCAATAAGGAAACCCTAATTCTCATATTTCAAGAAAAACGAGAAATTCTAAATTTCATAATAAACATATCTTAAATGTATAATCCATTTTTATAGTCTAATCTACATACAGAAATTCTAAACCTAATCTGGATTTTATTTGTATTAGATAATCATTTACTAGAGGTGTGGGTGGTAAATTATGTGAAACGTATAGATAAAAAGTATTTTTGATAGTGAGTCAGTCTTCAAAATGTGAAGCTCGACTAGGACACAGTCTTCTTTTAAGCTCATCTTCCCTAGAAATATGTGTTGATTTCATTCTTAATTTTATTCAAAGTTTGTGGGTATGGAAGTTTAGGGTTCTTACAAGTATCGAAGATAAATCTATTCTTGTTGTCTGAGAATCCTTTTCTTTTTTTGGAAGTGTCAATTCATGATCATTAAGATTTAAAGGCCCCTAGTTGAAAAAATGAAGGAAGATCTTTGAAAAATCTTTTGGCCTTTCTAATATTTACAGGAGAAATACATAAAAGTGATAGATATTCATTAATCTATTTCCTCAGAAAACAAAAAAACAAATAAAGAAAATGTTTCAACATTCTCCTACAACTCCCGAGAGGTGCCGACCTAGTTGGTACATCTACGTGCACTTAGAGATACTAAAAAAAAGTTCTCCTATAACTCCTGAATTTTGAACACTACGCACCTATCGACGATTTCAAGAATCCCTAAATCGTCAATTGACTGATTATCTTCAATATTTTCATTGTCAAAGCCAATATTCAAGTCCAATGAAACACAAGACCTTTTTTCTTCTTCTCCTGCCTCCTTTTCCTCCAATGATCCATCTGATTTTTGCTTAGTAGAAGGTGAAGAGGCTCTTGACCTAGTGCTGAAACTATCACAGCTTAATATGATAATGGCGTCACAAATGCTAACATCTTCACCATTTTCATTGGTTATTCTGCCTTTTTCAATGGCCCTTTTTATGCCGATTTGAGAAAAGTAATCTGCTTGATCCAAATCTTCTACTAAGAAAACGCGGTGGGGATTAGCAGACACTTCTTGAGCAAATCTGTCAATGTGGCTACTGTTTTGTTCATCTCTTGCTCGTTTATTTCGATGATCACCAGTTGAATCTGACCTTGTATATGAAAATTGGCTCAATGGAATCGATATGAAGTTTGAATAAGAACAAAAAACAATTTTAGCCAATTCTCTAGCAATTTTCTCCTTTGCTTGTGCGTCAAGTCCTAGGAAGAGCAACCAAGTTTCTTCTTTAACCTCATTGCTTCTTATCTTGTCTTTTCTTCTTAACATTCCAGATCTGCATTGAAGTATGCTTCCAACAATTTCAGGAATGATTTGTTTCTGCCATGGGACTTTTTCCTCCAATGCATTGCATAGGAAATTCAAGTTTTCAGCATTCAATTCCTTGAACTTTTGTGCATAATCTGTGTCCATAACATCGCTTGAGGAAGCAGAATTATGGGTGGAACTAGGATTAGATGAAAATGCTAGTCTAGAAAAAGGAATTTGCTGCAAACTGGGATTCTGTAAATCGAAAGAAAAGCAAGAAGCAGATGGTGAAGGTGATGCAAAAGAGAAACTTGGGGTTCTTTCCAATGTCTTAGGTTGCTTGTGGACTGAATTACATATTGCATTCCATTTGTTGCAGAGTTCTCCCACTGAGACACAGTCCTGAAATCAAAGGGATCATAGAAAAAAAATTAGATTTGGAGTAGTGCCTGTCATTTCCTCTCAAACAACTTTCAGTAAAGCTCTATTTATCAAATTGTGTGCATGTCGCATTTTGATGGAAAACTAATCTAGGCACGAGTCTATGTGTTGAAAGCATAATTTCAATCAATAATTTTGTCCCCTCTCTAATAATTTAAACATCTTAATTAAAGAGGTGGTTCAAAAGTTTCATGGTGGATTGAAGGAGAAGAACCAAAGGTAAAAGATATTTAGATTTAAAAAAAAAAAGGTAAAAGCAAAAGATAAGTTTGAAAAATGATTACCTGATCATTACTATTAAGTCTTCTTCCTTCCTTTCTGAGCCAAGGAGGCAAACTTGACAATGTGGGCTCAGTGTTGCAATTGTTGATTTGTAAGCATCGAGCTTCTGTATCGAATTCTGCTGAACAATCTGCACAGCAATTGAGCTTTTCTTCTCCATCTGTAAGCAGTAGCTGAAGGCCTCCATTTTCGGCATCTTGGCTTCTAGCTTCAGTTTCTTTCTCACTGAACCAAATTAAAGAAATTATTTTACAGTCAATTAAAGAAATAAAAGAAACAATATCCAAGAAATCTATTGAATTAAATGCAGAAGAAATTCATAAATTATGCCCATGTAAACATATTAACAACTTAAGATCAGTAAATGTTATACCTGTCAGAAATGAGACTCAAGCCCAAAGTGTAAGCAGGAACGGTAACAGGATGCAAATCCCAGATATTTTCCAGTGAATATTGACCACTTCTACACCTTGTGAAAGTCTGAAAGGTTGCAATCCCCATGAGCCAAAACTTTCCAAATTCTCCAATTCCACGAACCAATCTTCCAATTTCCATGATCATGTGCTCCACAGGACAGTAGTTGCTTCTCTCTTGTCCCCAACAACTGACTCTATAATCAGCAATCCATTTCAGGTCTCCTAAGTACAAAACAATTCCTTTAGCAACAAGACTCTTCACAAGGCAAGCCAATTCTCCCATCTTCTGTTCAACTACTTCCCTATGCAGATTACAGAAAGAATGAAGTGGGATGCTTATGAATTTTACTTCTCTAAAAGATTCAGGAACTCCTCCTTTGTCAACCCTATTCATCACTCCTCTAACTATACTTTCTAAACTGGTTATGCATTCACCTACTATCACGATACTTTTCCTTCTTCTGTTCACCAAAGTTTCTATTATACTGTTAACGTCTTCATTTCCCACTGGTCCAGAAGTACTTGGCGTGCTAATTTTCGACCCGGTTTGATTAGTGGTGGGAGATGGAGAAAGGGTTAGAAGGTTATTTTCTTTGGACTTATTTACGGTAGGAGAGTTTTGAACGCATGATTCAGAAGAAATTGCTTTCTCCACATTGCTTTTCACTTGAGTACTCGAAAAACGAGCTTCTTTCATAACTCTACTTACACTGGGATCATCTAAAATTGAAATTATGAGCTGCTCCAGCTCTATTTTCACAGCCAATAGTGGTTGCTGCTGGTTTTCGATGGAACCACGCCTCTGGTGGGCTTGAGCACGCTTGAAGGCGGCCACAAGGGCGTTGGAAATGGACGGATATTGTTGAGAAGGGGCAACGCCTAACATGGGGCTAGGCGAGGAAGCTGGGAGGCGATTGAGTGCCACATTGAAGCAAAGCTCTAGAGCTTTGCATTGGAGAGGATGGGAGTGAGACTGAAGGCAGGCGTTGCGGAACACACCACCGGAAACCGCCAGCATGGTGTTTGCAACATGCAGAGGCGTCACCTGTGCATGGCCGCGCCGCTTAGCAAGCGCCACCGCCTGTTTCACAACGCTTGCAGCTTCCACAGTTAGAGCTTGCTGCAGTGTAAAACCTCCTGCTCTCATCCTTTCTCTTGTCTCCACTGATTAATTACTCAACAATAACAGAAACAAAAAGGAAGTTGAAAAGGTGAAATTAAGGAAAATCTTGGGAAAATATTCGTTTCACGAGATTTTCTTGGAATGAAAGAACAAGTACAGCAGTACAGTATTTGGATTAACAAAACAATAATCAACAGAAACAAAAACTCAGAAGCCTTGTCTTAGAAATCTAAGACTAGATTGTGGTTTTGTTCAAAGAGAGTGAAATATATGGGAGAATGGGGTGTTCTTTACTTGTAGATGAGGTTATATTGGGGTCCAAAGTCGATTTTGCTGTGGAAAGTGGAATGCATGTGTTGACAAGGAGGGTAAATTGCAGCAGTATCAAAGGCAAATCGGCTTTATCTCCCCCACCCCACCCTTTTTCTTGATATATATCTCTCTCTTTCTGTATTACATATCTACTAGAAGACATGGAATGTGGTAGTGGGACTCTGCCTTTCATGCAAGTTTTTTAAATTTAATTGGTGACTAATGGTTAGAAAAATGATAAATGAATCATACACGGCAGCCACTGTGAGGATGCAGATATGTATTCTTTTTGGCAGGGAAATTGGTGAAATGGATCCAAATTTTTGTCCATCTCGCCTTTTTGGTTCAAACTTTTCAATCTTGGTACAAATAGTTACAAATCTTTGCATTCTTGACGTAACGTGTCCTTTTAGATGGACTTCGTCCAAAAAACCGTTAGTTTGGCTGTGAACTACACTCTCTTTTAAGTTAAATTGCATATGTAGTCCTAAATTCACCGACGAAAATTGCACCAAGAAATTGTAATTTACTTATTAAAAGAAAGTGTGGGTCAAGAATGTGCCCTTTACCCTTAAAAGAAAGTGTAGTCTACACGCCAAACTGTCTTTTTTAGCGGAATCCGTGCGAAAGGATCAATTGTGCCGAGAATAAAATGTTTGACCAAAAATTCAAGATGGACAAAAGTTTGAGACCATTTGCGTCAATTCATTTTTTATTATGATCAACCTTTTTTTTTCCACGTTGCCAACCCACTAAGTGGCATTGCATTTTACTCAAGAACGACTAAAATTGTGTGGAATAGTAGTAGACGCGTTCTTTGAATGTTTACCAAATATAGTACATAGGTATTTAGGGCGTGTTCGATAAAAATTAAAATCGGATTAAAATTGAAAAACTAGTCGTTATGGTTGACTTTCATTAGACGATCGGGACCCAATAACGTCTATATTTTCAATTTTAATTTGATTTTGAGTTGTATCAAACAAGCTCTTAATCAATCTTTTTACCTTTTTAAGTTTCAAAACTTTCAATTTCAGTATAAGAGGATCTTCACTTCGATGAAAATTATCTTCTTCTTTTTTCTCTATTAAATCATCACACGTTTTCAACGTCTGATCTCCCCCAACCCCGTCACCTCTTCCATGTCCAAGGACAATAACGATAATAAATTTGTTAGTGAATATGTTACTTTTTACTCTTGTTACCTTTCATGTTCTTTGCCTTCTCCTTCTTCATAGAATCTCACCTCGTTTGAAGAAAGAAATATTTGGGCTACATTTGTAAGATTGTGCACGTTACGATAGAGATCTCTTTCACGTGGAAGCAAAATAGATGGAGGTTGTCACGGGGTTCAAAACCTAACAATATCGAGTAGGCTTGATTTGTCATTTCATTTTTCACCATCTTAGCGTTCCAATTAAATCTGCTAGTTTAAATATAATAAACAAAAAACTATTCATTTTATTTCAATTTAAGGTAGTAAATATATTATTAATGGAGACAAGGTATAAAGTATTGACCACATGCTTCTCCAAAAGGAAGTGCAGCCTTAGATTCGATAGCCATGATTCTAAATCTTAAAATATTTAATTGATTTAAATATTGTACGCTACATATTTTTTTTTTTTTGAAATATTAAATAAACTAATAAGTAACTACTTTGTCTTTAACAATTTCTACAGTCAATGAACAAATTTAGGGCATGTTTGGGTCGGATTAAAATCTGATTTTAATCTAAATCAAAGTCAAGCAATCAATGTTAACCACATCTTTCATGGTCCCACATCTTTTCAACAACACATTTCAAAAACTTCTATCACAATCCACTAGAAATCTAATTTTAATCTCCACCAAACACCCTCTTAATAAGTAGATTATATCAAGGGCATTTGGTTGGACTTTTGAAAAGTTAAAAGTTACTTTTAAAGTTAAGTTATTTTTAAATATGTCTAAATAATTTTTTGAAATTATTTTGTCCGATTAGAAAAACTTTTAAAGAAGTAACATTTTCAAAAAACTCTTCTACGAAAAGTAGAAGTCAAAGAAGAAGTAATGTCAAACGGATCTTAATACCTACTTTAATTATGCAGAAAAGTGTAGAGTGAAGCACAAAATACGAGATCGAAAAAGCGAGGCAGAGAATCGGGAACTGTGTTCGATTTCCTAACTCAAACACAAGGAATAAAGCCCCTCTGCTCGATTTTAGTTAAAGTTTTGAGCTTTTGCATGTATATATGTATATAGCTTGATGCCCTTTATGCATGGAGAATTAACACCTTTGCAAAAACATTCTCTCTCACACACAGTCACACACTATAAGTATGTGTTAAATAGAGTTAAACATATATTTAATCTTAAATCTTTTTATACATATAATTCGTTTAGATCTTCTCAAATAAGATGCATATCATCTTATCCATTGTGGTTGTGCATTGAAAATGATTCGTACGTATTGAGAATTGGAAATTCTGATTCTACCACCAAGAGCAATAAAATCACATATAAAAATTTGCCACAAGAACAAGTAAGATATAGAGAGGTTCGTATCAATGTGAGACTACGTCATATTTCGTTGCTGGAGTAATTCATTACGATGAAAAAAAAATTATTATTTATGTATTGATCAATAGTACATATTTCTCTTAGGTCATTTAGTTATTGAATTGCTCGCATTTGAGGTAGGACTCTGATGGAATATACCTCGATACACCTCGCTCAACGAGGCAGATCACGTACTAGTCAGTGAAAAAAAGAGCAAGAAATCGTACAAGACCCTTACTCCATGTCACCTCTATAGAAACAACGATCAATTTGGGGCTTGCTTGGCCATTATACTAATTTGTTAAATTAATGCCCCATGCCAAGTTAGGTTAGTGGTCTCATTGCTAACCGTGCCACGACATAGAAAGCAGAGAAAATGCCACTCACTATCCATTCACATACGATTTAATTAAATTTAGAAGAATAATCTATAAGCAATATAAAAAATCACAAAATACAAATTCTTCATCACACCAAACAAGAGATCTCTTGTTCATTCTCAGTCATCTTCTGCTCTTTTTTAAAAAAAAATTTGTAACTTTTGGTTTTCACTATTCTTGGAGACAACAATGTGGATTCAACCAAGAAAAAACCTAAGAATGTTCTTTATAGCTACATAGGAAGCTAAGAAGGCTTTAGCATCTCATGACAAGCTTTACACATGACATGGGCCATGTCATGTAAGGAATCTCTCCAAAATACAGCTAAAGTTCGATTATATGATATGACAAAATTAAATTGATACATTGTAATTGAAGGTGTGCATGGTTTAGACTAGAATAATATTACCTAATTTAAAATCTCGTGTAAAATAAATTCTTGTCTAACATCTCAATTTTTTATGAATCCATAAAGAGAGGAGAAATTTGAATTCAGAATCTTTATTTTTTTGATGTTATCAAGAATACAAATGATGATATTCATCATTACTGGTGGTCACGATAGGTGACACAAGACTCACTAATTCATTGTTCAATGCGTTAAAATCAATCACAACTCCATTGAATGACTACATTTGAAAGTGACATTCAATGTTTAATGAGGTTGGACATAGGAAGACGAGTTTGGTTAAGTTGAAGCAATATTAATTATTATCATGCACATATTGAATGGTTACACGTAAAAGTTAACAATTTATAGATATTTACTTAATTCATATTTTATCTTCAACACGAAATGTGTAATTGTTCAAGGTAATTGCCGTTTAGCAGCTTGATCCTATGAACAAATATTATAAACCGAGGATTACATTAGATATAAAAGTTTTGCCATATTTGTATAGATTGAAGTTTTTAAATTTTTCAAGAAAAAAAGAATGAAATTGCAGTAGAATAATCCTTTTAAAAAAACCCTAATTTTAATTTATTCTTCAAAAGGTTTAGAATTAAAAGTATACATACCATATGTCAAAAGGGTGTATTGTCAGTCCCAGTCAAAAAGCTTATCCCATCCAAAGAGAGCACCAAATTATTTGAATGCAAAGTTTTCTACAACTCTTAGAAAAGCAGAGTTTGAACAAAAATAAAGGAATATGTATAACTTCTTTATCATATTATAGATATATATTTCATCTGTACTTTCTCAACACCCCCCCCCCCCCCACACACACACAACAACGTTTAACCTTGTTTAAGAGTCCGTTTGGCAGAGTTTCTGCTTTTATTCCTGATTTTTCTAAAAAAAATATATTTGAAAAAGCTAACTTAGGTCAGTTTTCTCTAAATAGACAAAACCCTTCTAGATATACAAAGAACTTCCTGAAAATAATGCAAACATGTTCAAAATCAATTTTTTAGTCTCAGAAGTAGTTTTTGACTAGCACTGCTAAAAGAGCCCTAAATAAGGTAAATTTTACGAAAGGTCACCATATTAGTCTATTGCTTTGGTCACTAGGGTTTTCTTTTATCTTCTTATAACCATAAAGTCATGTTAACTAATATATGTATAATATGCATGTATATAGATACATATATGTATGTGTGTGTCTATGTATCTATATCTATAGATGTGTATATATTGTTGATAGAATAGTGATGTGTGGGTGGGTGGCAGGGAAGAGACTTTAAGCATTGAAGGTAAAAAAGAGCAAAAGTTGATCTAATTTCTATATATATGACAACCATCTCAATGCAAAGGTAACCATACAACTAACGTACCACACTTTTCTCAAA